GAACACTGTGCCTTTGATCCCATACCTCCGCTGCATCCTGAACACTGTGCCTTCGATCCCGCACCTCTGCTGCACCCTGAACACTGTGCCTTCGATCCCGCACCTCCGCTGCACCCTGAACACTGTGCCTTTGATCCCGCACCTCCGCTGCACCCTGAACACTGTGCCTTTGATCCCGCACCTCCGCTGCACCCCGAACACTGTGCCTTTGATCCCATACCTCCGCTGCATCCTGAACACTGTGCCTTTGATCCCTTACCTCCGCTGCATCCCGAACACTGTGCCTTCGATCCGCACCTCCGCTGCCCCCTGAATGCTGCGCCATCGATCACTCAGCCATCTTGACATTGAACTGTATTTCAGTTTTTATACTTTCACAATAGATAAATGGAAACTTTGACACTAATAAGATCAAAGATTGTTCTAAATTGTCAAATTAAGGAAAATGTCTGAGATAAGCTCCAGGCCCTAACTGCAGCCCTGTCCTGGGTGCGTGGTTTGAAAATTGTTGGATGGATGGATGGATGGATGGATGGATGGATGGATAGATGGATGGATGGATGACCATTTTTCCTCTATCCAATTTCCATGCTCACTTATCCTTTGCAAGGTCACGATGAGTCTGCAGCCAATCCCTGGCATTACAGACAGGAGGCTCCCGGACAAGAGGCCAGTGCATCACAGTGAACGTACACCAGGCATTTCTATAGACACGTCCCAATGGGGGAATCAGACTACCCACAGTAAACTCACAGGAGCCTGGAGGGGGTGATCGAACAGCCCGTGAGGTGTGAGGTCATGGAGTGACTCACTAAGACACTGAGTCACATCTAATAAACTATACATTACATATAGTATGATATTACATGTCATACAACTGGACATTATGCAGATTACTTCAACTGGAGTGCCTTTCCTGGGAATAATGCAGCCAGGCTATGCTTGGGTTTCAGGTTTCAAGGCCACGTCATAAACCACTATGCTACCTAAGAATTAGCTGCAAAAAAAAAAGCAAAGTACAAGCAGCTGATATGCAGTGCAGCTCTTCCTGTCACACTATTGCTGTGCGGGTTGTACTTCCCAAGTACTAAGAAGCACCAGTATCCATAAAACCCAATTAAGGATTAAATGGAAATGAAAGCACCAATCTCAAAGTAAATGGATTTAAAACATCCCTTTCCAGTAAACATCAATGTATAGCCTGATTCATACCAAAGTCGCAAACAGCCTTAACTGCACCGATGTGGGCTTGATCAAAGCACCTCAGCCTGGTCTAACAGTTGTTAGAAGGTGTGACTGATGTGAACCGGCATTCATGGGAGACATGAACATCTGGCTGTAACCTCAAGACCATCAGATTTTTGGTTTAAATCCCACAGAGCCCCAGGTCAGCCTTATTAACCAATACAATTAATCTGAATCATCCATATTCCTTAATTGTATATCCAGCTTTGCATTGGGCCTGGACCCTATTCCATCACAGGGGACACACTCACAGCAATGTCAATTTAGAACAACCATTCTTCCAGAAAAAAAGGTTCTTTGTGCTGTGGGACGAGGCTCACACTAACAGTGCAGAGCAAGGATGCGATTTGAATCCCAGCACTGGTGTGGTCAGTGAACCACCAGTCTCTACATAAGCTGCTGAGATCCTGTTAAACGTGGCCTTATAAATGTATAAACTGTTTGTTGCTTTAAGCAAACAAAATGGAAAGTGAAAGCAACGTGAATGACAGTAGATTATACTTTATGATCCAGTTATTAATTTGCATAATTTTCTAGAGAGTTACAGTAAATGATTTTAATGAAATACACGTCAGTGTATTTTGTGTTCTTCGTCACATGGCTTCTTAGCTAGCGTCATTACTATTAATCTTACGATGAACATTTTTTTGTAAGTTATGTAATTCTCCTCCCTCTAAGCTGTACCTATCGATCACAATGCAACTGATAATGCCTGGACGCAGTCTATCCCATTACATGCTCGCTGTTACCAGAAGCATGAGTAATCGGACTTCCAAAGTAATAAGCCCATGGTCTAAATAAGAGTAAAACTGGCTCTGCAAAGGAAATGTTTAAAAGTTTGTGAAGATACTTTTTTGAGGTAGCCTATATGGATTGATTACAGATAACATATTGCATGATAGGCTTATTATACGCGATAAATATCTGCATGTATAAAAACCAATTTATACTGTTAGCAGTGCATGCAAATTGGTCTAACGCGTGTAAACCGTTTAAAAGAGGCTGAATCTGAAAGATGTTGAGTTTTTTCTGGGCCCGGCAGGGAAATGGTGAAAGGAGCAGGTCATCACCCGGCTATTTAGCGAAGCGTTACCTCCCAGGGGGGCGGCTCACCGCCCCGGAGACGCGTCGCCAAGCTGCTGAGAAGCGAGCATCTTCCGTCTAAATGCCTTTCCTGGAAAGCAACATCACGGCGGAGCTTCGCTCCAGGCGCCGATTTCATGTATCGATCGCTGTAATGACCGCAAAGGTATTTAATTCGGGAAGGACGCACAATGCACTCTAAGGTCTTTCTAGGAAAAACGCATTTCGGGCACATAAACATCAGATTAGACCGGCCATTGCAGGGGAAGATGGTTGAGACAGTAATGAAATGTGGGCTTCAAGAGAAACCTTGACAACCTTTGCACTGTTGAACACTCTTCCAATGGACTTTAATATATACTCCATTATAGGTAGATCTGTATGTAACAAACCACTTATTTGAAATACTCATATTAAGCATTACATCATAACCCTGCACATGGTATTCACCACGATAAATTACATTTCAAAATCCATATCAAGCTTAAAACAAATCAATTTTGAAATTATGTGCTTTTCCTCTGGTAGTGAGTTTAATACATTTTTTAAATTTAAAAACCCCAAGAGTTTCACTTAAATAAGGAGGACCTATTATACTATTTTAACTATTCATGATTTCATTTTTTGTCTCGACTTGAATAGATTCACATGCTTCAATGTACCAAAACGCATTTTTCTCATACTGTACATCTCTATTC